GGGTCCTGCTGCTCTCTGAGCTTGGTGGTTTTCTTGCAGACGTTTCATGACCGAACTAGGTAACATCATCAGTGTGTTGATCCAAATTAGGAGACAGCATAGGAAGTATCAATTGTGAATATGTGCTGACTTTGGGCCCTTGCAGAGTCATGGAGGCAGGTCGTGAAAGGGCAGCAAGGAAAACAGCCCACGTCCTAACCCACCCGGGAACGTCCGAGGTCTTTAGGGAAACCCCCCAAAGCTACTTCTGCTTTCTCCCTTCTTAGCTACAGTGTGCCAGACTTACGGGGCGAAATCCTGATCTTATGTGTGTGTCAGCTCTGCCGGGTGGATTGCTTATGTAATCAGAAGGAATAAATACACGGATTTCTTCTCATTCGGGGCTTTGTTCAGCTGAATAAAAATGTAAAGCTTAAAGGGAACTTCTGGTTTCCTGTATTTTTTTTATCAAGCAACCCCTCAGAACCTGCACAGCAAGTGATGATGGCCATCAGTACTGAGAGGGCGAAACACAGAGAAAAGGTCTTGAAAGGTCTGCAAGAAAACCACCAGGCTCAGAGAGCACTAAGAACCCCACCCAACTGTCATTACCTGGCACCATCCTCAGACCCTGTGTGTGTGTGTGTGTGTGTGTGTGTGTGTGTGTGTGTGTGTGTGTGTTACGTATTGCTGTTCTGAGGACCTTGGCAAACAAACATTTGCAAAGAAAAGAATGGCTGTCCGAGCTCAGCCTTGCTGTGTAGGGTGACAAAAATTCTTGCTAAAAGGAAAAGGAACCTAGGCAGGGGAACTCTCGAACCCCAGCCTGGTGCATCTTTGCATTAGGGTTGGTGATGCTAAAGCAGGCATGCTCTCTCTCTCTCTCTCTCTCTCTCTCTCTCTCTCTCTCTCTCTCCCCTCCCTCTCTCTGTCCTCCCTCCCTCTCTCTCTCTCTCCTCTCCCTTCCTTTCCTCTCTCCCTCCCTCTCTCTCTCCCTCTCTCTGCCTCCCTCCCCTTCCTCTCTCTCTCCCTCCAAAAACATCTGGATTATCCAGCCTCATGTGATATGGACAACACTGAACTGAATTCGCACTGGCCACGGTAGATGTGCAGAGTCCCTCTATAAATGAGGCAAAATATGATCACAGAATTGTGACTGTGGGCCCAAAAAACCCCTCTATCCAGCTGGCTCCCTAAATAAAGTTTTCATGAAAACAACCTGGCTATTTTGTTTTGCCCTCACCTTCTTCTGGAAGGTTTACCCAACTTTACAGCCTTAAGATCACCTGGTGGTCTCCCATCCAGCTCTAACTTTCTTTAAACCAGCCAAGTGTTGTTGTTGTTGTGTTGAAGGATTGTGTGGGTGTTTCTCAAACCTGGCCATTTTAAAGGCCTGTGTGGACTTCATCTCCCAGAATTCCCTAGTAAGCCAGCTGGATTCTGGGGGTTGAAGGCCACAGATGCCACAAAGTTTTCCTTCCCGATCCCCCGCACAAAGTGTTTGGAGTACATTTGTGATGTTCCCTTCCACATCTCTTACATAAGAGAGATATCTCAAGGTTAGGGTTTTTATCATATTTATGGAGTGTATATTGGAGATGGTGTGGGATTCGTTCTCTAGTTTGGAAGAAACAATTGCCAGCCAAAACTTCCAAGAGAAAGCAGTGGTACTTTATTTTTACTACTTTGCAAAGAGGATGTATCTTGTACTTGCAGGTACAGTGCACACACCTTAAAATCATCAATATAATTTCTTTATATTCCCTATAACCATCACAAATTTACCTCCCACTTTTCCCTCATTGGCTGAGTACTCAGGCCGTCACAACCTATCCAAAGCGCCTAAAGTGAATACATTATTCCCCACCCCTGATTACATCTCCCATTCCTCAAATTCTATCACCCCTTGCCCTTATTTACAAATTACCTTTTATAGCTATTAGTTCCTGTGGGCTGCCTCTGAATCAACCATCGTGCCAACTAATTCTGGTTAAAACTAGTTTTGAGCATTGCAGGAGCCTCTGATCCTGATTCCTACGTTCAGTTTCCATGCTTAAGCAGAATTCATGAGATTAGAAATATGTATAATGGATTCTTCCAAGGATTAGCCTGCCCTTCTACGGTTCCTGCAAAAACAATAGGTTCTTTTTCCCACCATGCTGACCCTTTAAGAGCTGTATGCAATGAAATTTCATTTTAATGTATGCCGATTAGTATACATTTAAAGTGATAATAAAGTTATTTCTATTCTTCTCTTTTATTTTCTGTACGATATTATATTCTATATTTTATTCAATTCTACCTTCTCTTCTATTTTGTTCTCAACTATGATAACGTTAAGATGGAGGTCTGGAAATGGAGTCATGGCAACTGGATTTATTTTTATTAGGTGAGAGGTTTTGCGGCTTCTCCAAGCAGCTTCTTTGGTCTAAACCACTTGGATAAGGGGATTCTGGGTAGGCAGAAAGCCGTTGGAATGTACCAACTCCTGAAATTCTTGGGGGGTCTTTATGGGTTCCTGGCCTTGATCTTCCTGGGGGCTGATGAGAGAGCAGCCCAGAAAATGGGGGACAGGTTGTGTCTGAGGCCTCCATCTCTGTTGAGCGAAGGAGCCTCCGCTTCGGCCCAAATGGATTCCCTCGCTCTCTCTCAAGCCATCCATCTTCCCTGTCCAGAATGTGGGTGTTGTGTCCCCTCCGAGCCCCGATCACAGCCAAGGCAGGAATGTCTTCCCTTTGGGGCTTCTTTCCCACTTGATCCGATGATGGCCGGGAAATGCTCCTCCTGAGCCCCAGGCAGGGACCCCAGAGAGAGAAAGGGGGAAGAAAGGACCTCACAGCACCTCCAGGGCAATTACGAAGGGGGAGAGCAAAAGAGACGCTGCTTCTCTCATTCTGCAGCTTGGGGGCAAATCAGCCAGCCGTGTGTGGCAGCAGCCAGCAATGCTAATGCAACCCTTGGTTGTGTAAACAGAGGGATGGAATCCAAATCACGTTAAGTTTTAGTATCCCTGTATAAATCCTTAGTAAGAGCACGACAGCAGCATCCCAATATTTGAGGGGCTGCCACAAAGAAGAGGGGCCAGTTTATTTTCCAAAGCACCAGAAGGCAGAACGAGAAACCACGGAGGGAAACTAATCAAGCAACCTGGAATTAAGGTGGAACTTCCTAACAGTGTGGACAGCTTTGCCTTCAGAAGTTGCAGGTGCTTCATCACTAGAGTTTTTAAGAAAAGACTGGACAGCCACCTGTCTGAAAGGGTATAGGGTCTCCTGCCTGAACAGGGGGTTGGACTAGATGACCTCCAAGGTCCCTTCCAGGTCCATTCTGATTCAACATAGACCCGTAAAAGCTTTCCCCTGCAGACAGCTTTGTGTATATCACCCCAAACCATGGACCATCAAGGACATTTTAGATTCCTTGAAACCCATTAAATTGATTACCTGGAATTACACTCCTGGAAAAAGAAATCCAGAGGCTTTAGGTTTTCTCTTTCACCCTTGTGTTCAGATCCGGCCTTAGTCCAACCGTGTAACCTTTGGGGAGGGACTCTGCTCAAGCCCCCGGGAGGTTCAGCGGTTTGGGGGGGTTTTCTGAGGTTTGTTCAGGCGCCTCTTGCAGCAAAGGCCTCCCCAGGCCCTCCAGCCCTGGGACCCTCCGGGACTCTCCCCAAAGAACCGGGGGGGCTGCGGGTCTTTCTCCCCCCACCTCCCTCCCCCTTTGGGAACCTTCCCTGACCCCGGCTGGAGAAGAGCCGAAGGCGGAAGAGAGGAAAGAAAGTCTCCCCGCGGCTTTTTCGCCCCCCGAAATGGAGGGAGAAGGAATCCCCTCAGGCCACAAAATGGAGGAGGCTGCAGGGTCCTTTGGCGGCTTTAGCTGTCCCTCTCACTGCCTGTGGAGGAGAGCCCGGACTTCAGGGCCAGGCCGCAGACTTCGCCTGGATCCCAGAGATGTTCAGGGTCCCCGGTGGGAAAGTTGCTTCTCCCAGGAATAATTATCCCTCTCTTGGAGAGTTCTCCTGCTACTTCTCCAATGACTGTCTCCAAGGTAAACTTCAGACTGAAGCAAAATGGAAGAGCTTTTCGTCAGAGAAGGGTAGATTTCTTCCGTCACGTTGTGGGGGGCACAAGTTTTCAGACAGGCAGAGTCTGCGCTTGAGTCTTCTTTTCTTGCTTTTCCAAACAAAAGTTGCTTTGTCTCTGTCTGAGTCAGGAAAGCCACCAACATTTCCATTTTGTGTGAGTGCTTTGAATTCTAACCTGCCTGTTGTTTTTGTTAAGATCTGGGGAGGAGATTGCTTCAGCCCCAAGAACGATGGACCTTCTGCTCCGGATGCTGTTGGTGTCCCAGTCCGTCTCTGGGAGGCTTCGAACGAAGGGCCGGCTGAGTTTGGGCCACCAGGGTGGAAAACAGCCATGGAGCTATCACAGGCCAGGAGACCCCCTCACCGCTCCGATCCCCCCTGGGACAGAAACCTCGCCTAGAGTCTTCCCTTTCAACCGTGCTCCATCCGGTTCCTTCGTAAGTCCTTCAGGGTGATGGAGTTCCATTCCCTCCATTTGCACCCTTCATACCCTTTTTCCCCCTCCTTATTTCATCTAGGTCTATTTTACAGGACCTGTCTAAGTCCCTGAAAGATTTTGATTTTCTATTGCTCTTTTTTCTTATTTTGTGGAAGAAACTCAATTCAAAAATGGGGATGAAAAAAGTGAACGAAGTTGAGATTATTTTCCTCTCCCTGTAGATTCTTCGGTTTGTTACTTGATTACTGAACTAAACGATCTTTTGGATTTGGATCAATGTAGGCTTAAGGCTCAGTAGCTTAAGGAGACAAAGAGGATTGCATTTTTAAAAAAGGATTTGTTAGTGGTATGATGATAATAACATGAACATTTTTTTTACGTTTTCTTTTGGTTATTCAGAAACCCTACGCTTCGCTTTTGCTATTCAACTGATCAACAAGAATTTCCAGCTGCTGCACAATCTCACACTTGGCTACAACCTCCACGGCAACTATTTGAGCCCTTTAAGCACTTCAGTCGCCTTGCTGGACCTTCTCTTCACTGGAGAAGCCGATGTCCCCAATTATGGCGGTGGAAGGAGGGACAATCTTTTGGCTCTTCTTGATGGAGCTGCCAGGGACATCTCCAACCAGGTGTCAACATTAGCAGGCACTTACAAAGTCCCACAGGTTTGTGTGTCTTTTTCCTCTATCTGATAAAGTGAGTGGGTTGGTGATGGGTAGCAACAGATGCCGTCATATCTTCTCCATGGAATTCAAGAGCTGCTTTTCACCATCTTAGTAAACTTGGTTTTTTTTCATGTTCAGATTCGTCATAAACGGCCTGAAGAACAATAAGATCCCTGGAAAGCAGATATTCAGATGTTCAAAAAATACCCCAAGTTGTGAAGCCCTATATTGGCATGTTCATTTCACATATAAATAATATCTATAATGTCCAGTTGGATTCAAGTTGGCAATAATAGTATTTCTATATATAAATAAAATAGAATAAATAGGACTCTAGAAATTACAGGTTAGGTACACTAAGAATGACAATGTTACTCGGAAACCCTTATATCGAATTGAAGTTTGGTGCTTAATATATATCACTACTAGAACAATCCAAATCTCAGCATCTGAGGAGCATCCTGGAGGTAGACAAAAGGACTTCAGCTACTGCCCTCAGAGCTGAATTGGGAATTTATGCAATTTGTCTTTTCTCTTGAATGTTAATATTAATTGAATATTAGTATTCAATTAAAGCAATGAAACCTAAAAGACTCCCAAGAATAGAACTGTAAAGTTTCAGTTAAACGCACCCTGGATTTTTCAATTGACAGATTATATTAGGAGGTGTGATCTTACTTTCTCTTGTTCAGCTGGAGAGCACATCTATGTCAGATGCCTAAGAAAGAGAGAGATCTTATTCTGGGCCATCAGAATTAACATTTACATAGAATACAACCCATTTATTTTCAGTCCTGCTATTTCTCCACGCTGTTGTATTTTTTCCAGTAGATTTTTTTTTGTATTATATTTTTTATTAATTCTTTTACAAGCATAAGTCAATAATTGGTAAACAGTGTGTTGTCTCTATAGTCTGTATTCCATATATTAATTTTAGTTGATTTCCTCTTTCCTCTTTTTTGCAAACATTGAGTTAATACAATTCTTATTGTTTTAATAAATGACAATTTAGTATATATTTTTTCCAATATTCCTAAAAAATAATCATTATATTAGTACATTTCTTTTCTTTTCAGTCATTTGGATTGCCTTATCATCAATCCTGTTACAATCCTTATTTTAGTTTATTTCTCCCACCTTGAATATTCTTACTGTAAAGCAGTGTTTCTCAACCTTTTTAATGCTGCGACCCCCAACCGGTCGTAAGTCGAGGACTACTCAACCGGTCGTAAGTCGAGGACTACTCAACTGGTGCAGCACCGTTTGCAGAATGGGACTTTTGGCGGGTTCAGCAGGGCAGAGACAGCCTGGACAATTCCTATTGGCTTTTGAAAGCCAATAGAATTAGACTCTATTCAAAAGAGTCTATTCTATTGGCTTTCAAAAGCCAATAGAATAAAAGGGAGTAGCACAGCTAAGGAAAAGAGGAAAAAAATGGCAGACTGCATTGTTTGGTGACCCCCGTGAAATGGTCATTCAACCCCAAATGGGGTCCCGACCCACAGGTTGAGAACCACTGCTGTAAAGCTTTTCTCAGCGATTAGTTACATTTACATTGAGAGACTTAATTCTATTTTTTCCATATTTTTACGTTTCTTAAGTCATGGATAAAAGAGTAAAAAGAAAGGGGAAAAGAAGAAGAACGAAAAAGAAATAAAAAAGAAGAGAAGAAAGCAAGAGTAACAAAACATAAGAAATAACATACTACTTAGAATATATATCCCTCCTAGATTAATAGTATTTATTTTCTCAAAGTTCATATATATATATATATATATATATATGTATGCATGTATGTGTGTGTATGTATGTATGTATGTATGTGCGTGTGTTTGTATGTATGTATATGTATATATATGTATGTACATAAATGTAAGGACTCACCCCACTTTGCATCTTAAGAAGACAGAACTCTTGGAATCTTTCTTCCAACAGGCATCTTTATTAAGAGAAACTGGTTGCAGGCATTCTAGACAGGACTTGGGCCAAGCCCTATGGTTCAAGGTTTTAAGGGGTTCCCCAGTAGCCCCACCCAAACACCCCCTTCTTACAGCGATAGTCTCAGGCATTCCATTTCCACCCCCTTTCTCTCACTGCCGACAGGAGGTATCCAAATTTCTTTTTCTGACAAAGAGTTAAAGAATTAAATTGGGAGACTAAGATGGCCATTTCGAGCTCATTCTGCTCTCTTCAGTTAGCCACACTCTTTATGGGATTCGAACCTGGGCAGTTTACATACTAGGCAGTGATTTAACCACCAAGCCACAGGCTGTCCTCCCCTGTCTGCCAGCCGAGTCAAGGGAGTATATGCAGGAAGTTTTTCAGACAGACCGGTCTGATTGATTACACCTTGGCATTTTTTAACTGCTATACTGCAGTTATACTTTTTACAATCTCTTTTGCCTTGCAGCCCCCCAACTAGGGGCGTTAAGTAGGCTCAAGTCACAACTGCGAAACATTTACAAATCCAAATTTCTTTTTCTGACAAAGAGTTAAAGAATTAAATTGGGAGACTAAGATGCAAGGCAAAAGAGATTGTAAAAAGGATATTCTAATCCACTTGTCCTTTAGTTCCATCGTGAGCCTGTCCATTTCAGCACACAATAATATTTTATATAATATCTCTTCCTCTGTGGGAGTTTCTTTATTTTTCCATTTTTGGGCATACGCCAATCTAGCAGCAGTCAGAATGTGCAGCATCAAATAACCTATCCCTTTGTCATATTTCTCTATAGTTATGCCCAGTACAAAAAGTTCTGGTTTTAGCCCTATCTCCATCAATAATATTTCTTCCAACCATTTTCTTATCTTGTTCCAATAATCGCAGGCTTTAGGGCATTCCCACAACATATGGTAGTAGGTCCCTATTGCCAATTTGCATTTCTAACATGGTTGAGAGATTTGGGCCCATTTTGGCTAACCTTGTGGGTTAGGGTTAGGTTCCCACAATTCTTGCCAGATATGCAGATCAATATGGAAGCCGAAATCCCTACTCCACGTTAACATGGTTTCCTTAACCTGTTCTTCATACATTGCCTGATCTAAAAGGTAGTGGTATAGTCTTTCAATCATCTTATCCCCAGTTCCTAATAATATTTTATCCAGCTGTATCCACTCTGTTTTTATACCCCACTCTTTTTTATCTTTCCTGTATCTTGATTGTAGTTGAAGATATGCCCACCATTCCAATTCTATCCCTTCATTTTGAAGATTTTTCCTTGATTTCAATTCCACTCTCTCGTCTAATACATTTTTATACGTTATTACTTTCCCTAATTGTATAAATTTTGGGTGTATATGCATTTCCAATGTTGAAATCCAGTTGTGGACTTGCATATAATTTTGTTGCCTAATTCCCATACGTCTGTTAGCGCTCGTCTGATGTAATGCCTCCGGAAGTACTGGTGGACCTGGTATTTCTGATCCCATTGCATAGCGTGCCATCCAATCTGCAAATCATGACCTTCCAGACTTAGTAATCTCCTATTTTTCAATTGTATCCAATCCCGCACCCATAATAATACTGTAGCCTGATAATATTTTTCCAGATCCGGGAGACCGAGTCCACCCCTTTCCTTTGCATCTTGCAATAGTTTTAACTCAATCCTTGCTTTTTTCCCTTGGCAAATAAATTTAAGTATGGTTTGATTGAAATTTTGAAAAAAATTCTTATTTAATTTGATGGGTATGCATTGGAACAAAAATAATATTTTGGGTAGCACGTTCATTTTAATTACAACAATTCTACCCATGAAAGAGAGCTGCAGATTGGTCCAAATATCTAAATCAGTTTTAATCTGTTCCATTAATTGATCATAATTATCTCTTTTAAGTGTGGCACGTCTAGCTGTTAATTGTATCCCTAAATATTTTATTTTCTTTGTACTCTGGATGCCTAATCTATCAACTAATCCATTTTTCTGTGCTCTGGTCATGTTCTTAACGAGCATTTTAGTTTTTTCTTTATTTATCTTTAGGCCTGCTATTTCCCCATATTTCCATTAGCCTGATTGTAGTGGCTCTTCAATTATGAGAACAAGATCGTCTGCAAAGGCTTGCATTTTAAACATTTCTCTCTTAATCTTTAATCCTTTGATCTGCTCATCTTTCCGAATCCCCCTGTTTAATACCTCCAGGGACAGTACAAACAATATTGGTGATAATGAACAACCTTGCCTTGTGCCTGTTTGAATTTGAAAACTTTCAGTTGTTTCTCCATTAATTATTACTTTAACTACCTGTTTGGAATAAATTGATTTAAACATGTTTATAAAATTCTCCCCAAAATCCATATACACCAATTGATTGAGCATAAAATCCCATTTCACGTTATCAACTGCTTTTTGTGCATTGAGAAAAATTAATCCGATTTGTTTTTTCTTATGGACCTCGTAATACTCCAATACATCCAATACAATCCTGACATTGTTTCTTATATATCTTTTAGATAAAAAACCATTTTGATCCGAATGTATAAATTCTACTAAGAATCTTTCAAAGCTTTCAGCCATTATGGCCATGAAAATTTTGTAATCTGAATTTAGTAATGAAATAGGCATAAGTTTTTAATAAGCATCAAATCTGAATTTTCCTTGGGAATTAATGTGAGGAGAGTTTCTTCCCATGAAGCTGGTATTTTTGCATTTTTAAGAACCTCATTAAATAATTCTATCAATATTGGACTTAAAGATTCTTGTAAAATTGTAAGGACACTTTACATCTTAAGAATACAGAACTCTTGGAATATCTTTTCCAATAGGCATATTTATTAAGAGAAAATGATTGTAGGCGTGCTAGACAGGATCTGAGGAATTCTCTCCCACCCTTCAATGTTTTAAATGTTTTCAAGCAGCCCCCCACCCCACAGTTCTTCCGGGTGACGATCCACCTCTTCTCTTTTCCCAGACTCCAGGCGTTGCATTGTCCCCCCACACTTTTATTTATTTATTTATTTATTTATGAGACTTATATACCGCTTTAAGTGCAAGCACTCTCTAAGC